CTCTTGCTTTCGTCCGCATCCGCCATCAGCCGCGCCCCGTCATCGCCCGCGCCTCGGGCGCTGGAAGCGCTCTCCTCGTCTCGAGCCGAACTTGGCCCGGCTGGCAAAGGGCGCGATTGAGGTATAGCTGCGGTCCGCCCGGGATACCCCGGCGCCCTGGCCCTACCACCCTGGCAAACGACCGAGGCGCATGCCCTCGCGAACCCCGGGGGGCGCCGGGTCCAAGACTGCCCGGCACCGCAATAGGCGGCGCCCGCCAGCCTGCCCGAACCCGCGCGGTCTCTGCCTGCCACGCCCCCTCAGCGGGCCAGCGGGCCAGTCTGCCCCGGCCCTTGATCTCTCTCTGCGGCGGAGGCCCAGCGCTGCCCAACACTTGCGCGAGGGCCCCTCTCACGACCCAGACGCGCGCCCACCTGCCCGCGCTGTCTTCGCTCTGCTCGAAGCAGAGGGCACCCCTGGCGTTCCCCCGCCGCCCTCCCCCCCCCGGCGACTCGGACGCCCCAGCCCTCGCCGACCGCGCGGGGAACCGCCGCGGCGCGCTGAGAGACCGCCCCACCACGCGGGCGCGCGGCTGCGCGAGCGTTTGCGAGGCCCGCCGCGGGACCAGCGCGCCTCGAGAGGGGCGGCCTACGAGGCGAGCCCAGGCGGACCTCGCCGGAGGCCAACGCGGTCTCACCGACCGAGCAGCAGTCGGTTGCAAGAAGCGCGAAGACCCGACGTCCTGGGCGCGCCGCGACCGCAGATTTGCATAGCAAGTGCAGCCCCGAAGCCCCGCCCGCCATCGACGGGGCCCGGAGGGCGCACCCCCCGTCGGGCACCCCCACCCCGCCCACGGCGGAAAGGAGGGCGCGCGAAAGGGCTGGCGCCTGCGCCGCGGGAAGGCGCCCACTGGCCACGGGGGTTCGGGTCAGCCCGCGCAGCGATCGGCCGCAACGCACGCAATGCCACTCCCGGCCTGACCCTGCTGCAAGCGGATGAGAAAGGAGGCGGCGCGGCCCCGCAATCCTGCCCGCCCCCCATAGGCACCCCCCCACCTCGAGGGTACGCCAGCGTCGAGCGACCCCCCCCCGCGCGGCGGCGGCGGGGGCGCGAACGCGCGGGCGCACGCGCCCGGGAGAGCGCCAACCTGCGACGGGAGCGCGGGCCCGCCCTGGAGGCGCGCGGGCAGGCGCAAACGAGGGCCCCCAGCCACGGCCGCACAACGAATCAACAATCTCGACCGCGCGACGACCAGACAGAACGAAGGGCCCCTGCGGCCCCGAAGCCCCGCCCGACCCCAATGGACACATCCCTCCGCGAAGGCGCACCCCCCCCCCCCGCCGAGGACCCCCCCGCCCGCGGCGGGAGGGGCGGCCCGCGAGACGGACGGGCGCCGTCGAGGCGGGAGGGCGCCCACCAGTCGGGGGTCGGAACCGCCTCGCGAACGCCCCTGCCAAGGGGAAAAACGCGCACGCGGGTTCGCTTTCAGCCGCGCGTGCCCCGCCTGCCCCCAAGCACGAGGCGACCGCCGCGCCCGACGCGACCCAGGCCCAGCGGCGGTCGTCTGACGCGTTCCCCCGCAGGCAGGGCCCCCGCCACGGAAGTCGCACGGGGCCCCGCACTGCGGACGCAAGCACTTACGCTGCGCCGCCCGAGCCTCGCGGCCGGTTGGCGCCGTGGCGCCCCGTCGCCACGCGGCGGCCCGCTGTCCTCGCCTGCCCGGCGGCCATTCTGTCCACGCGACGGCTGCGCCCCCCGTGATCTGCCGGCAGGGGTGCCGCCGCTGCCGCCGCCACAACGCGTCAGTCGGCCCCGCCAACTCCCCGTTCGGACCTCGCTATTTCGCTCGATCAACTCCTACGCGACTGCCTGCTGGCGTTCGACCGCGCGCCCCCACCGCTTCGCGGGCTGCCCCGGCTTCGGGCCCGCCTCGGCCCCCTAGCCCGCAGAGCCAGAGATGTCAAAGAACGGGGGCAGGCGGTCGATCACCCCACGGCGCTCTATCTCGCTCAACGCGGGACAACCCTCGGGCGGGCGAAAGGCACGGCAGTTGCCCGTGACCTCACCCTGAGAGAGGCGCCCACCCTCGCAGCAGGCGCGGACCGGCAAGTCCTCGCGCATGTCCCCCGCGCTCCTCTCCACCGAGAACGCGGGCACGTGCTTCACGAGCTCCTTGAAAGCATCCTCATCGCCAGAGTCGACGGCGCACGCGACTGCGCATCCCTCCTTCTCCAACATCCCGTCCAGTTTGATATCCTCCCCTCTCGCGGCGTCGATGACGGACGTCGGCTTGGCCGTCTCCAGGATCGACGCGCCGCCCTCCGCGACGATGGCGCGCGACGGGAACACTATGACGTGGTATTACCTAGCGTCTTTGCCCTTCTCTGACTACCTGCGGCCGCACCTCACACCCACGCGCCTCCAGCGGCCTCCCGGGGCGGCGCCCCCTGGTTCGTTCACCCGCGCTGGCACCGCGCAGAGCACTCACTCCGTTGGCTCGAGGGGGGCCGTACTGCAGTTCGGGCACACGCACACAATGCAGTTCTTCACCGAGAGCGACGGCGAAGTCTGCCGCAGCTCCTAGCCGCTCGTCCTCCAGGACAGCCTCGTAGATTTCCTTGAACCGGACGTTCGGCACCACTGGGTCGTCCTTGTACTTCCTGAGCTCCGCCTCTATGGCGTACTCAGTGGACCTGGTATGCTGCGACTGCGACTCCTTCTTCTGGTTTTCCTTCAGGTTCGACAATTCGGCCTTCAAGCTGTCGGTTCCTGGCCTGGGTCAGCACTCTTATCGCTGTGATGCTTGCTTCCGTGGCACGTAAGGCACATGTAGAGGCACGGGCGCAAGGGGTCCGCGATTTTGTTGATGAACACGTTCGGGCACTCGCCGCCCACAGCCTTGGCGGCGCACTCATGCGCGACGACATAACTGACGCTCTAAAGCCATGGAAAATCCCCGCTCTCGTAAGCCAAGACGAAGAGCGATACAAAACCGTGCATTCCCTGACAGAAATGGCACATACTCGGGTTGATCGCGACCACGTGGCCACCCACGAACTTGCGCGTGCCGTCGGCCTTCTTGACCAAGGAGGTCAACTTCATCTTGGGTGATTTCAGAAGTCGCGCTTTGTCCGCGGACATCTTGCCGGCACTCCTCACCCAATTGCGGGCCCGCCCAGCAGGGGATTCTGCCAGGCGGCCTCCGCCTGGCGGTCTGGCTCCCGCCCAAGAGGATCGCACGGACCGCTGCCACGCGCTCTCGACCCTCCCCCGCGGTCTGCCGCCTCGGCCCCCTCCGCTTTCCTCCTGCGCGACGGCACGGCAGGCGCCAGGCAGGATGAGCTTTTCGCTCCGCTGCGGAGCGGCGTCAAAGGCGCAGGCCCCAGGGCCAGCTGCAGCGCCTAACCGTTATTCATAAACGGCCGAGCGCCTTTCCCAAATGGCCACAGACGCCAGGCAGGGAACAGGATACACGTTCGTGCTGGCACGCGGTGGCGAATAAACAGGAGAGGACGACGAGAGACTCGGATAAGGTGGACGAGGACGCGAAAGAGCCAGGAGGAGGGAGGAGGTGGCAGGAAAGAGGGACGAGGAACGAGGGAGGAGTGAGGAGGAAGGAGGAGGGAGGAAAGAAAGGAGGGAGGAAAGGAGGGAGGGAAGGAGGAAAGAGAAAAGGAAGGAGAAAGAAGGAAGGAGGAAGAGAGAGGGGGGAAGAGGACCCGATTTGGTAAAGGATCTTCATCCTCCTCCTTCTCTTCCATTTCCTCCGTATCCTCATTATCCTGATCCTCCTTCTTCTACTGCTGTGTTGTTCATACGGTATCCTTCCCTCCTCCTCCTCCTCTTCCTAGCTATTCATCCTCCTCCCTCTCCGTCCTCGTATTCACCTCTGACTGCCCTCTTCTTCACATCACTCCCTCGTTGTGGCACATCCCGCCTCACCCCTATCTCTCTCTCTCTCTATATATATATATATATACACATATATACATATATATATATGTGTGTATGTATGCATCGTTCTCTATATATATTTATCTTTCTCTCTCTCTCTCTCTCTCTATCTCTCTATTTCTCTCCCTCTGTATCTCTCTCTATATATATGTATGTATGTATACATACGAATATGATATCCACATGGTTGTATGCACATGTCTCTTCTCAACCTTCCCACCTCCCCCCCTCCCACCCACCCTCCACCCTCCTATGCCTCCTTCCTCCCAATTCCCCTCGCCATCCTCCCTCCCCCTTGCTGGCCCTTTGCGTACTCCTTCCCGGTAGCCGCTCAGATAGCTTCGGCAGGAGGAGGGGCAAACTGCAGTGGAGCAGAGAGGCTGGCGTGTGAAAAAAGCCTGGTACCCGAGAGTCCGACTGGAGGATGAGGGGAGCAGGAAGAGCTGGCGGTGCAGGAGGAAGAAGGTGGAGGAGGAGGACCGACAGGAGCAAGAACGGGGTGATCGGTTCCATGTGTTTGAAAAATGCCCACCCACCCACCACCCACCACCCACACAAGCCAACTCCCTCACCCAGGGGCCCGCAAGTCGTTCAGGCGCGCCCCCGAGGCGCCCCTGACTTCCACCGATGTCCGCTATCAAACTACAGCGTTTCGCGTTTGCCGCGGTGATGAGGTACTGCGCCTGCAAGTGCACGCTAGCATTTCAACAAACACTTCATGCCCGAAAATCGCCACATCAGCGACGGCCTATGTATTGAACATATCAGTATCAGATTCTCTGTGAGTTGCTTGATGCGCGTGTATGTCTCTGTTCGGAACCCACGTCACCATGGGGTGGCGCTGAGCACAGACATAAATAGACGAACACACGGAAGCGCCCCGAGAAGAAAGCACGGTGACAACAGCCTGAGCCCAACACTAAATGCCCCACTGCTAACTGTGACTCCTTGGACCGTGGCCACAACGCCCACTTCGCTGATCTACGCTGGCTATCCTCAAATACCTGCATGCTGCCATTCTCCCCTGGCATGTCTCTCAATCAACTCAGAAGATTGCATGCCGCCACCTGGGCACTCGAAGGCACCTTGGCACAAGGACAAGCGAACCATAGGGCAGCAGACTATCATGGGAAGGCGGATGGAGGAACCTGGGAGAGACAGAGAGAAAGATAGGTAGAGCGACAGGGATAAGGAGAGGAAGAAAGAGAGAAAGGACAAAAAAAGAGAGGGGGAGATAGAGAAAGAGATAAGAAGAGAGATAACGAGAGCAAGAGAGAGAGAGAAGAAGAGGTTGCGAGAGAGCAGCTGGATCAGAGAGAGGTAGAGGGAGGGGGAAGAAAGGCCGATGCACTAGGAGAGTACAGGGAGAGATGATGCAGAGACGATCTGCAAATCATAGAGGGTAAGAAAAAGATGAAAGCAGATCAATGAAGAGGAATCAGTGAGAGAGCGAGGGAGAGATTGTGAGAGAGACGCGGGGAGAGAGAGCGAGAGGAAAAAGAACATCAACAAGGGTTTGATAAAAAAGGCAGAGAGAGATGACGATAATGATGGATATGATGATGACGACGACAATGTAGAATGATGCTGATGCTGATGCGGATGATGGTGATGATGATGATGATGCTGATTGTGCTGGTGATGATGTTGATGCTGATGATGACGACGGTGGTGATGGTGACGGTGATGGTGATGATGATGCTGATGTTAATGATCATGAAATGAATAGTATGATGCTGAACATGTTCATGGTGAGTACGATGATGGTGATGATGGTGCAGGTGATGATGCTGGTGATGATAATGCTGGTGATGATGATGGCAGTGATGTGATGATCATGCTAATGATGATGGTGATGATGATGATGCTGGTGGAGATGATAATAATGCGGATGGTGAAGGTGATGAGGATGAGGATGATAATGACGATGATGATGGTGGTGATGATGATGAGGATGATGATAGTAAGCATGACAGCAATAAATTAGAAAAACAATAAAAACATGTTTAAAAAAATGATGGTGACATTGATACTGATACTAACGATGATGATGATAATGATAATGGATATGAAGATGAAAATGATGATGATGATGATGATGATGATGATGATAGCCATGATGGTGACGACGACGACGATGATGAGGAGGAGGAGGCCACCTCCGAGGCGGGTCAAGTTGCAAACAACGAAGCATGCCATCGCATATCAGAAACGTTCAAAAAGACTAGGCTGACTAGGTTCCTCGTCTAATTCCCCTGCAAGGTATCTCAAAGTATGACAGGACACTGCGGGGAAGGCGGTCTCGAACGGACTTGCCCCTGGTGCCCTTGACACTGTTATCGGCAGCCCGACAACGTCCGTCCTGTTGGCACGGTCTCGCCGAGGCCAACTCGCGAGCCCGTGGCCGTGGATCCCTGAGACGGACGGGAAAAGGCGAGCTGTCTTTCCCAGAGCCACTCGGGCCCCTGCTCGGCCAGCGCAAGGACACCGGGCAAGTCTGCATGGGCATTTATGGACAGATGTAGCGAGGCAAACAGAGAGAAAGAGAGAGAGAGAGAGAAAACAAAAAAAAAAAAAAAAAAAAAAAATGAAGAAAGGCAACAATGAGCGGAAAACAACGGGTGTTGAAAGGAAGCCTTCCCCTGGGCGGAGGCTGGGAAAGTGCTGGAGGGACTCGGACCCGGGCCGCGCGAGCGCACATCGAGAGCCCCACCCACGACAAGCCTCGCGTGGGGGTGTGATGCGTGCGCGCGCCCCCACTTTTGCTGCTGTGCAGGGTCCCCCCCCTCCTCTTCCTCTCCCTCCCTCCCTCCTTCTTTTCTCCTCCCGGGGGCCTGGCGTTCCACCCACGACCATCCTCGTGTGGGGATGTGATACGTGCGTACGCTTTCTATGATGCTGCGCAGGGTCCCTCCCCTCTTTACCCCGGCATGCCGCTGGAGCGCTCGCTTGGGGCGTCAGTCCCTCCCCTTCCCTTCCTTTTTTCTTTTCCCCTGGGAGGAACAATGGGACGGCGGGGGAGGGCAAGGGCAGGGGGTGAGATACCACACAGGCGGACGAGTATCGTCCTAATCGGGTTCACTGGCACACAAGTTTGTGGATCATGTTGTGGCAACGGGCCGTGTAGCCGACGTCGAGAAGAAAAGAAGGCTGACCACCCGCTGACGCAATTCGAGCTCCCTGTGATACACACGCACACACATTTCTCTCTCACACACAAAAACAAACACACACACACACACACACACACACACACACACACACACACACACGCACGCACGCACGTACGCACGCACGCACGCACGCACGCACACACGCACGCATATACACCCACCCACACACACACTCGCCCACACATGCGCACGCCTTCCTTCCCCGCGACGTTGGAACAACAATCGGTGAGACGCGAATGAACGCTTGGCGTAAGTTGCAATTGCACGTGCGGCAGCCGCACACACACACACACACATCAAAGCCGTGGAATCCCCAGTAAACGATAGGCTAAGGCATGGTAGCAAAACGAAGAAGGCCCAGCGAGTGTCATGCACCAGACTGGTCGAGCCGCGAGAGGAAACACTTGTTTCACGTCGCAGCGCGGCAGAGGCAGTCCGCACGCGCGCTCGGGCAAGCTGGGACGCGGCATCGCTAAGTGTCCAGCAGCAAGAGCGGGAAAAAGATCGAGGAGGAGGCGGCCACGGGCGGGGGGGGGAGAGCGCTCACGCGGCGGGGACCGCTGCGGAGCGGCCGGGGCGGCCAGCTGGTGCTGCACCCATAGCAGCGGGCGCGGGAAGGCGTCGCGGCCACACCCAGGTACTGGGGTAGAGGCTGCAGCGCGCTGTCCGGGTGCAGCGGAGCAGACGGCGGCGTCCCAAGCGGCAAAATGCGGCGGAACAGTTGCTGGACGGGCTGCAGTGAATGGGCATTGCTGTCAGCTGTAGCCAACCTAGGCTAAGCGGATTACGGGGCAGACGAAACACACAAGACCAGCAAGTACAGGAGCGGTGCTGCAAGCGGCGGGGGCGCCGAAGCGCGTCCACCCAGCAGAGCCACGAAGGCGGGACCAGGGAAATGGCGGTGTCCCGGGGCCGGCCGAACATGGCGGCAGCAGAGCGGCCGCGGGGTCCAGGGTGGCCGTCCAGTGAGCAGGCGTACAGGCAGAGACGTCCGCGCGCTGGCTGGAGCTGGCGAAGCGACAGGGAGGGCAGCGAATACGATCCCCAGCCAGTGCACGCATCACAGCTGGGGGCGAGTGGCACGCGAGAGGAGGCACGGCACTGCGCTCGAGCAGCGTGGGCACTCACAAGGCATGTGGCGAAAGGGAGAGGGAGGAGAGGGAGAAGAAGGGGAGGGGGATAGGGCGAAACGCAGGCGGATCGCCTCAATGGCATGCCTAAGAAAAGCGAGTGTAAGAATGAGGACAGCGAGGAGTAGAGAGAAGAAATGGGGAGGAGAAGGAGGGAGGAGGAGAGAGAGGACGAGGAGGAGAGGCCCTCAGAGGGAGGGGAGGGAGGTACAGGGCGAAGCGGAGGAGGGCAAAGAGGATGGCGACGAGGAGGAGGAGGAGGAGGAGGAGGAGGCGGAGAAGGAGGAGAAGGAGGAGGGGAAGGAGGAGGAGGAGGAAGACGAGGAGGGGAAGGAGGAGGAGGAGGAGGAGAAGGAGGAAAAGGAGGAGAAGGAGGAAAAGGAGGAGGAAGAGGAGGAGGAGGAGGAAAGGGGGGGAGAAGAAGACCCTTCTCTCCGTGAGCCCTTCCAAGCACGAGCATGCCGCGGCAGAGAAGCGGTGGGCTGGCACCTCCTCGAAGGCCGAGCCGCGCTGCCGCTTCCGGATCTGCGGCGCCGCGGCCGCTCCGGGGCGCTCTGGCACACTCTGAGAGCGCACGGACGCGCTCTGGAGCGATGACTAATTCGGGGCTCGACCTAAACCTGAGCATTCTCTCTGGGTGGAGGGCTCAGGGTGAAATCCATATGGGCTTGTACACCTCGAAGATCAGTCTGTCTCGTGATTCACCTCTTGCAGACCCAAGCCTGGAAAACCCGTCGAAACGGCCTTTCAGATTTCACCCTTTACCCTCCACCCAAAGAAAATGCTCGGTTAACAGTGTTGTTCGTTTTCATGCTGTTCTAGATTTCTCTCGTTCTGTCTTCATTCCACCTTGGCTGCGGAACGAAGTCGAACACAGAGCGGCGCACAAAATCGCCAAGACACCGTTTAGGTCGAGCCCTGGTTCCCATGCCTGCCCGATCCTGAGAGCGCACCAACGCGCCCTGGAACGATGATTACGGTGAGGGTTTTGGATAAGGAACCCTTCGATAAGGAATCCAGGGTCTGAAAGCCAGGGGAACGCTAATTGAGGCTGTTTCATGGACATCATCGCCGCCCTCATCAGATAAGGAATCCCACAGGGTCTGAAGCCTCCGGGCACACCGTATTTCTCCAACGCCTGCCTGACCCAGAGGAGAGCAGGCAGGTGGGGGAGGATCTGGGTACTGCAACGCGTTGGTCCCCCTTCTGGGCCTTGAGAGGCTTCGGACCTCCAGGGGGCTCCAGAAGCAACCAGAGGCCTCCGACATGTTGAATGATTGATACTGGCGCTTCCTCCTGATTTCGGGATACATGGGGCTGTTTTCGGACTGGGGGGTCTTCAAATAACTATCTGGGGCGAAGAACGTGTGCTGGTGAAGCGTCGGTAGGTGCGGGCCCACGGGTTGCAACAATCACGACGTCGGAGGTGTTGGTCCTTATTCTTGTCGTACCACATCTTCTCAAATTACTCGTCCTCCTCCTGCTCATCCTACTCATCTTATTAATCATCATCATCATCATCATCATCATCATCATCATCATCATCATCATCATCATCATCATCATCATCATCAATACTAATAATAATAATAATAAGAATAAGAATAATCATCATCATCATCATCATCATCATCATCATCACCACCATCATCATCGTCATCATCAGCATCAGCATCAGCATCAGCATCAGCAGCATCATCATCATCACCACCACCACCATCACCATCGCCATCGCCATCGCCATCGCCATCAACATCTATCAACAATATCGTCCTCCTCATCATCATTGTCACCATCATCATCAGCAGCAGCATCATCATCAATATCATCATCATCATCATCATCATCATCATCATCATCATCATCATCATCATCATCAGCATCATCATCATCATCATCATCATCATCATCATCATCATCATCATCATCATCATCATCATCATCATCATCATCATCATCATCACCAGCAGTATCATCACCAGCATCATCATCAGCACCATCATCACCATCATCACCATCAACATCGTCAGCATCATCACCACCATCATCATCAGCCGTCATCACCATCATGTTCAGAATAATCATCATCATCAGCTTCATCATCAGCAGCATCAGCATTAGCATCATCACCAGCATCATCAGGATCATAATTGATCATCATCTAACACTTCATCAGCCTGATACGCTTTCTACCTGCTCATAATCATAATCAGCAGCAACATCATAATCGTCATCGCAATCATGATAACAACGGAAATGTTGCCAGTGTCTTTGGGGCCTTCCAGCTTATCCGCACAGACTTGCACATGCCGGCGCTTCGTTAGAGGTGGGTGTTCAAGGTGCTCTGCGCAGGAACGCAAATTCTCGTGGCATTACTGTTTTCGAAAATTTGCTTCCGGGTGCAACTGGCCGTTGATTTCCTGTCGTCTCACGAAGCTTCCCTGGCATTGTGAGGTCTTCCCGACCCCGGCCTCGACCCCCAGCCCTGGCTCGTTCTGATCGGCAACACTGTGGGCTGGGCTCAAGCACTGTCTCGGGTGGAGCCCCTATGCCCCGTTTCTCCACGCTCGGCCCCACGGCGCCTACGCCTCACTTCTGACTTCAGATCCTCCTGAGCCTGCTGCCTATCCTCGCATGTTTCGCCCTCCGCAGCGCAGTCGAAGCTGCGTAAGAAAAGTTGTCATTGGGCTTCAGTAGTACAGAAGCGATGGTCAGGCGAATCCTGCGCGACCATCTGTGGACTTCACAGGCTGACCAGCACTCAAGAAAGCCCATCCTGTCGCGGGCGGCGGCGATTAGTCATGTGGCATACGCCCAATAAGTGGGTTAACCAGGCCTACAGCAATTCCATGCAATTCCTACCTGCCTTCGCTTGCACTGGACACCTGTTTCGCGTTGCACTGATAGTATCACTGCATATGATGCTATGTCGATATATCATCCACCTCTCTTTGAAAATTGAGACCTCAGTCCTGAACATTATATTAAAGGGCCCGGAGCCCAAATTGCCGGATTCCCTGGTGCGTGGCGCGTGCTATGTGAGACTTCCCGCAAACCGCTTCAGGTTGTTCGCGTGACTCGTCCTGAGGCCAGGGGGACCCAAGACGGGCCAACAGGGCCCCCAGGCGCCTCCGAGACGGTCCAACAGCGCCCCGAAACGCCACAAGAGCGCCCCATGACGTCCAAGATGGTCTCAAGACGGTCCCCCAAGGTCCCCAACATGCCCCAAGAGGGATGCAAGAGGCCTCACTGATTTCGCGTGCTCACCTTTTTGGGCCTCCTAGTTTTTTGAAGTTTGCCTGCTCCCCTTTTCGGGCTCCGGGCGTTCCAAAACGCACCAAGAGGACCGTAAGATCGCCCCACAAAGACCTAAGAGGCCCTGAAAAGAGCCCCAAGCCAGCCCAAGAGGGCCCCAAGAGGTGCACAAAAGGAGGAACACGAAATGACATGTCGATCCCTCCGCCCCAATATGACCCCCGACATCGCCAGCAGGCCCTAGAAGGCCCCCAAGAAGCCCCAGGAAGCCACAAAAACACCCCAAAGAGCCCTCAAAGCGCACCCAAAATGTTCCCGGGAAGCCTGGAGACATCCCAGAATTCCCCCCGAAAGGCTTCGGACAACCCTCCTGAGAGACCCCAACAGGTATCCCAAAGGCTCGTGGGCTACAACCAAGGCACGCTGGCGGAATACGCCGACAGCAACTACTATCCCCGACAAAATTAACATAACGAATGGGTCATACAAATTCCTCGTCGATGTGGTGTCCTGGGTTTGGGTGACATTGCGTGCAAGGTACTTGCTGGCCTCGCTTATACAATGTCGGTCATCGTGGAAGTCCCGATTCGTACTCGCCCAGACCGCGACCCTCTCTGATTCGCCATTGGCAAGGGCGACACGAAAGGGGTGAAACGGGGCGACGCCGAATTGGCGCGCCAACCGCTTTTAAAACTAATGCGGTCGACGGGTTGGCAGTGCGAAGCCACTGCGAAGGCAAGGTGACGAGTCGGCCGTTTCCTTGCGCCCTTGGCGCGCGCGCACGCGTCTCGAACGCAAATTTCCAGCAGCCCCGGCCCCAAAGAGCGTGTCGTACTCCTTCTTCGAACCCAACTTGGCCCACTGTTGGTCAAATAGTTTTGGGGTTCCGGTTCCCCCAGGCTCCTCAACCGACCAACAAACTTTTCTTGCTCAGAACCCAACAACTACTTGAGAAACTACGTGCCCATCCACAGTATCAAAAAACAATGCCTAACGCTCTTGGAAGCCGTAGTTGCGGTGATATTACAAATCCTGACAATTAAATCACATAGGTTCAGCCGCTCTTGGCGGGTCGCGTGGCAGCTAACAGCAGCCACGGCACTGCCCGTTACAGCAGTACCCGTGCTGCGGGGGGGCACAGAAGTCGACGGCCGCAGTGGCCTCTAAGGCGCCGTGGAACCAGGCGACACGCAGAATAGAACTAAGCGAGCGAAGCAAAGTACTGGCAAATCGCAATGAGGAAATTCGAAGCGAATGGCCATGCTGAACGAATGCGAAAGCGAGGTGTTAAATCGAACCCATCAAGTACTTGAGCAACTACGGATCCATCCTGACTATCAAAGAACAACGTTTGACGCTACTCGGACCGTCGTTTCTGAGAGCTTACCTATCCAAACAGCCCACATAACATTGCTGCGTATCAACTCACATAGGTTAAGCCACCCTTGGCGGGTCGCGTCGGGGCGAACGGCAGCCCCGGCATTGCCCGTGGTGACCGCGCCCGCGCTGTGGGAGGCCATCCAAGGCGAGGGCCGAAATGGCTTTCCAGGCGCATTGAGCCCAGGCAACAGGCCGAACATAACCGAGCAGAAGGGCAAAAGTATTGCGGAATTCGGACAACACACTGGCGAAGCGAAGCGAAAAAACGCAATGAGGACATTCGAAGCGAATGGCCGCGCCGAGCGAATGCGAAGGCGAAGTGACAAGCCAGCCCTCGCCCTTGACCCGTTTGAGCGCGCGCGTCTCGAGCGCAAACTTCCAGCAACTACGGCCCCCAGGAGCGTTCCCTCATCAACTGTTGCGCTACATGGTGACCAGTAGCTGTTCATGTAGATGTTGGGCTCTTTCAACAAACACAACAACAAAAGTTCTCCTTAAGTACCCTGCGACTTATTGACCAACTACTATACGTCCACCGTGAACATCAAAGAAGAAGGCCAGACGCTCCTGGGGACCGCAGTTGCTATAAGTTTAAATACCCAAACGGTCCACATGGCGCAGCTACGTATCAAATCACATAAGTTCTGGTAGGGTTGTGCCAGCGCGAGCGGCGGCCCTGGCACAGCCTGTAATGGCCGCGCCCGCGCTGCGGGAGGCCAGCCAAGGCGATGGCCGCAATGGCCCAGCAGTCGCGCTGAGCCCAGGCGACACGCGGAATAGAACTGAGCAGAGCTGCGAAGGAACGGCGGGACTCTGGCAACACGCGGGCGAAGCGACGCGAAGAAAGCGCGCGATGGGACCGTTCGAAACGAACTTGCCGCGCGGACCGA